CCCCAAAACCCCAAAACCCCAAAACCCCAAAACCCCAAGGTAGTGCTCCAGTAATGAATTTTGAGTAATATTTTAAATAAAATAAGGATCACATCTTCAGGGGTAAAGTTTGAAGAATCTATGCTCTTCAGAAAAAGGGAGGTTTATAGTGAAAGCAATTAGAGCGTGATTAAAGGCTAAAGGTCCAGCCTCAGAAAGCCAGTCAGGCCAATACATTCATGTAGAATATTTGATTGTCAGGAGTAGGCTAAAGCAGCTATTAGTGAAAGAAGAGGAGAAAGCTAATTGACCATAAAAGTAGAATAGTATCTCAAGAAGAGCTCTTATTCAACCAGAACTACTGATTAGGTCCATCGAACTGATTTTGAAGGCCAGGCCCCCTTTCAGGGAAGGCTTGAGAACCAAATGATCTCCAGTAGTCTCCTCCCAGATAATGCAGACCAGCTCAGACTTTCGAGAGTCTTATAAATTCTGTACTATAAATCATATTGATGAATCGAGCTTTGATCGGTCTTTGATCAGGAAGTACAGCTGGTTACCTATTAAAGGAACCAAAATATGATCGACTTATTGTCCCAAAGAGAAGCTAAATCTTGTAGTAGCAACAGGGAGTGATGGGAGCTGAGTATCATATATAGCTTGGAAGACTATGTCTTCAAAAGATTACTTAAGTTTCTACAACTTTTAGAGTTCATGATAAAATTAGAAACTTTGATGAATGAGGCGGAATAGTCTATCTGGCAGACAATGTTGTTATTCATTGTTCCAAGGTCACTAAAATAGTGATGAAAAAGTTGAGAAACGAGATGAATTTTCTTCCAGCATACTGCCCAGAAGTAGCTCCAGTCGAGAGGGTATTTGGTTCAGTGAAAGCAAGAATGAGATCGCTCCGTCCAACTGGAACACTAAATTTCGACACAATAATGGCAGCTAAGAAGATAATGTCTGTAATAAGAACTCTTGAGAGAAATTCTTGGGTCCGCTGATGGCAAAGAATTCTTTCAGAGTGAAAGAGAGAAGTGGGACTTATTACAGACAAACTATCCATGATTAATTTCAAAGTCCACTATTATTTACCTGCTTTAGTACACTCCAGCTAGTCCATATAAAAATAACAATAAAATCTCTCTAAAATCAACAGTAATGTCATAGATCTTTTGAAATTGATTTCTCTTATTATTTTTAGAAATCCCATGTTTAAATTATGTAGTATTATGTCACTATCAATAAATACTACTATTCGGCCAGTCCTCATGCTCACTGAATTCCTTCTGCCACCCTGGCCGTTTCAATGCCATGCCTAGTGGCTTATGAGTAAAGCTCGCCAGCAGGAAGAGCAGATGGGTGTGGTAGATGAATGGTTTGGATTTAGACTTTTTGGATTTTAGAAGTCATAGATTTTTACAAATTTTGTGTGTTAATAATGGTTGTTATGCCTTCCTAAGGGGTTTTGGGGTTTTGGGGTTTTGGGGTTTTGGG